GGCATTCATTCTGACAAACCGTAGGGAAGAATGGTCCTTTGAAGCTGCAGAAACCTTTGCTGGACTTCAAAGTCACACTTCTGTCTACTTCTTTCCTACTGTTCTCAAATACATCACTTAGGATTAGTAAAATGAAAGAGATTAAAGCATTTGCACTTTCCGTCACTTTTTACAGTCCCTAGTGCTTTGTTTACAGGCAGCGGCTTTGTTTCCCATTATATAATCCCGTTGGCTTCTCCCGCTCATTCCACACCGGGGAAGCAACGCAGGAAAAGGTTACTGTAAAACCGCAAGAAGTAAAAGGGGAGATGTAGAGCTCAAAGCAACTGTGCAAGGTGGTCGCTTTAAGAGCCGAAGCAAAACTCCGTGACCACGAAAAGCAAGCTGCAAGTCCTGCAAGCGCGGTTCCCCTCCAGCAGCAGACGGCAGAAATCGGACTAGCAGCTCCTGCTCCGGGACAGCTACAGCGCTTGGTAAGCCCTCACCCCCGGGCACTGGGACAACAGTCGGCGTTGCTATGCAGCACGCACTCTCCTGCCAGCCCGGAAAAGGGAAAAGCCCAAACACCAGATCCCTCCAAATTGCAACATTTTTCCCTAAAACTGCTTCCAGTTAACACTCTCAAAGTTCGCTTTGCAACTAGAAAAGACTAGCAAAACTTCTAGAGAAAAGAAAGGGTAACTAGTAAGCTGAGATCCCTTTGTAATCACCAAGATACCGCAAGACCGGCAAAGCCGTCGGGAACACAAACACAATGGTGAGACTGTATCGCTGCGCTTTCAATTGCTGCTTTGCTTCCTTTGAACTCACGTTTTCAAATGGCTTTCCAATGAACATTGGTAGGACTTTAGAAATGATCAGTCTGGTGTTACGATGGCTCCTTAGCAATACCAAAGATTGGTCAAAAAATTTTACTTTTTCATGTAGAAAAAGTATCTTGAGTCTATCAACAATTACAGTATAGGCTTACCTGAATATAGTACTTATCTCTGCCTAGAAGAATCCACGTCCTGTAGCCTTATGTGGAATTATCATCTAAACAAAAATCTTCAAAAAAATCTTATTTGGACCTCCTACATAATTAAGATAGAATGAGGGAGAGAAATAAAAAAAGAAATTGAAAAAATGATAGCGGATGTGGCTGTAGAGCCCTAACACCGGGCTCGCAGGTGGGCCCGGTACACGGCAGCGTGTTATACGTCAGACAACCGTCGTACAACTGCATGAATAGCAGTAAAGTAAAAACCTTCTTATGAATGTAATTCTTGTCAAGAGAAGGCATAAAGTGCATGCTGTGCCCAAGGAAAATACTTGTTTATTTTCAAGGTCAGGGTTTGAGACTGTATCAAAACACAACAAGAGTTGCCGTAACCTACAGACGTTTCTGGACGAAACCCAGAGAAAACCCCCAAAGCTAGTAAAACCCACCTTTTGGTCTGTCCATTTTTTTGGCTTCTGTGCAGCTACCGTCACCTATAAAGCCTGTTTGTCACCTGATTTAGAGATAACGTGGGTACAGGTAGCGGTAATCTGGAAGGAAGTCTTTCAGATGTGAAAGATTTTCATTTGGTCAGGCGCAGACTTGACATGAAACAGCTTTGCCCCTGCAGTTATTTCAGTAAACACACGCACAGGATGCCCTACACAGTCAGACTAATAAGGATACATTCATCTCACATCTCCTATTAAAAACAAGGAGGAGAGAAAGAAAACATTAAGATGCAGCATCAGCCCCAAAACGCACACTGTGATCTTTCTGGCCTTGGTTTCATGGACTTGCGGAGCATAAGGATGTACCTTTGGAAACAGGCACAACGCCACGGAACACAATTACGGCATCTGATGTTAAAATGTGCTCTCTACCTGCAGCATTTATTTTCCATACAACTGGTTGGCCCGAATTAAGCTACACCCTGGCTCTTTTGAAGGCCTCTTGGGGCGCAAGGAGAAGGGAGGGGAAGAACTGGAAACAGGATGCTCATACACCTTGCGCAGAAACAGAAGTTTTCCGTCATTTCCAGTACATGGAGGAAGGCACAGCTCTCTGCAAGGGAGGGGAGGGGAGAGCAAACGCCGTCAGCCGCCCTGCCGAACCCCACTGCAGAACGGAGCCTAGCGGGGCACCGCGAGCACGTCCCACCGCTGCAGGTTGCCTTGCGGCAGCCCTCCTACAAGGGAGGAGATAGTAGCTGGTTTCGTCTTCCGTGACGGTGCCCCTTCCGACACCAGCTGGGTACAGTCCTCCCCTCCCCACTTTAGATACAGGATTTCAAGTTTTGGTCTGCCTGAAAAACAGAACTGTGAAGTGATTTTGTTTATGGTCATTTAACGCCGCATTTTAAATGCGCTGCGAGAGGTTTTTCCACCAGCAGAGCAAAAGCAGCGGTGACCGTGAGATACACGAAGATCATCCGGCTGCTTTAATTCTTACTGGAAGGGAAGGAAAATTAATCTTGCATTCGGAGAGCTAAATCTGTAGGCTCCCGCTTCAGAATTCAAAGCATATGGCTCCGTTTCAAAGCAGCTCGTCAGCTTCTTTAAACACCTCAGCGTTAGATAGGCAAACAGCACAGGCCTACGTTTTCAAGACCATAACTTAGCTGGACAGTTGCTGGCAGGCAGTTCCCATGGACGCGTACACCAGAAAAACCTGCTGTTTGTCCTTGTGGCTGCCTGATGCAGAGCAGGAAAGACGGCATCAAACGATCAAGCATCTTTTCTCCTGCGTAAGGCAGTATCTGGGTCAGGCCGCTGGCGCAGACCAGCAGTAAAGCTAAGCATTTCAAAGCAGTCCAGAAACGTGCTGTGCCAGGCGGCGTTTTGTGGAACAGCCAAAATCCTGGACTAGGTGCACAGATTGGAAAGTGGGGTGTCCATACCCCTCGCAGGCGCATGGCTGTGTAAGCTTCAGAGGAGTACCCAAGCCCTCTCCTGCCTGCCCAGCCTTAGGAGGCTTGGACCAGGACAGTGTGGCACACCTGGCTTGACGCGCAGAAGAAGAAGAAAGTCTACTTATTGAGGTTACGTTTCGATACAAACATAAAAAAAAAATCCTGGTGGAGATAATGTGCAGTCTCTCTGTATACGACTACTCGTATACTACTACAGGGGGTAACAAGCCATGAGTTTAATGTATTAGGCTGAGCTTTAAGCTCAGAGGCAAAAGAGGCTCTTTTTGCTAAGAGGCAAAACTATTTCTGTCGGAGCTAATGTGCACTTTTGCACCCGGTTTTAAGGTCCTACCTAAGGGCATTTCAACTTGTAGCTGAGACTCCAGTTATTTAGATTACTTCATACGCAAGGAAAATGTACCTTTGAGATCTTATTACTTAAAAGTTTGAATGTTCAATGTTGTCTTTAAGCTACTTTCTATCATTTCACAACAAAGTTCATTTTACCATAAATTTAGTAGGAAAAACACAGAGAAGATGTGTCCAAAAGCCCAAAGGGGACTGAGGAGCCTTTTCCTCCCTACCTAGCAAGTCCTCTCGTGGATCTGTTCCCCTGCTCGTTCGCTTCGCATACTGAAGTGTCTGTTTACATGTGCTCTAGAAAAAACCTGAACGTGGGCTTTGATCTCAGTTGTTCTTGCTATGCAATCAACAGCCATCAGATAAAAGCACGTCTACTTCTGATTTGAACGTTTGCTAATGCAAGAGCTCATCACTGATGTGTTACTCAAAACACAATTAAAACGAAGAGAGAATTTGCTAGATGGGTTGAAGGGCACGTAGCAAAATCTTCTGAAGAAATTACAGTGAATTTGAACAGTTCGAGGCGTGCACGGCAAACGGCAGCCCGAATAAGGGACCAGCAAAAGGCAACGCTTCCCTGCCCCAGCCCTGCTGCTGCCGGGGCCTGCTGCGAGGCCGATGCACGAACCCCTCTGACAGGACACACATAAGTGTAGTTCCAAGTCATCTTTTTGGATGCCAAAAGATCCAAGTCATTCGAAAGTCATCTTTCTGAAAAGTAAGATCTGGGGATCCTCCCTTCCTGCTATTTTGCTCTACACCCAGCTCATCTAGAAGGGCAAAGGACGGCTGCTGCGTGCCGTTTGGCTCACAGCACTGGTTTCTGCAAGGTGTGCAGTAGGTCTGTAGTTCTCCAAGCACTGCCAGGTGAGGAGGGCAGGACTTGCACCTTTCCTTTGGCAAAGCTGCGACCATAACGCCTTTCGCAGCATTGGACATTTGACCAGCTGACTCACTGACAGCCCGCATGCAAGAGCGATTGTCAGCGTAAGCGTTTCTAGCAGGAAAACATATGGAAAACATTTAAATTTCATCAGACGTTTTGTATCCCAAATTGTCTTGATTCCACGCTTTCTTCCCTCGTTTGTTTGTTTATATGTTGCCATTTCAACCTTTAGCACAAACATTTTCAGTTACACGTTTGCTGTTGAAACCGCATTGTCAGAGGACCACTTTCTGGAACAGATCCAGTTCTTCACAGTGGCTTCATCTCTCTACGTTGCTCCATAATTTTAGTTACTAAGACATTTGTTCGATTACAAATTTGCAAGAGGACGCAAACTTTGTTTCATATGTGGTTTGCTGTGTTTTACAGTGCAAAAGGTCCCTCTTTTAGCTACCCAACTTTGCTCCTCATTTCCAAGGCCTACCAGCTGCCCTGCGCATGTTGCAAATTACAAACTATTCTCTCTCCAATTAATGAGACTTTCTGACCACTTCTTTTTACAGGCCTTAAAAACACCTACTTAGAATAGCAATAAGAGAACATCAAGAGAGTTCAAAAAGCACTTATTTCCAATAAACAGTATGCTTACTTCAACTATACACCTCTCCAAAGCTCGTGAATTGGGACAAAGTCTTATGAGATTTCTCAGACTTCTCTTTCTGAACCTTGACAAAGAGAAGGGAAAGTAAAACTGTCAAAAACTTACGGGAGTCCCTTTTTGAAAACTTTTTTTTTTTTGGGGGGGGGGGGATGGAAAATGTTTTGCAGGAATGTAAAATGCTTTGCAAAATACTACCATTTTTGCAGAAATTTAGAAGGAACCCCTCCTCCAACTTTTTGAAAAGTGGCAAGCATTTAATTTTGGAAAGCATTTATGGCGAACATTTCTGAAATGCAACATTTCAGTTTTTCCACACTGAAAAACTTGTGTTTGGAATGTTCCTATTTTCAAATAGAAAAAAGGCAAAGCAGTACTTTGCCAAAATAAAGTTTGTTTTTTAAAGCTTTTTCATTAAAAAAAGGTTGTAAAACTACATCAGTTATTTTTGCACAGATAAAGGCAAAGATTAGAAATTTCCACTCTTTTCTGCTCCCAGCACATGTTCAGGTCAATACTTCAGACTTATTCTATACCTAAGTAAGATCGTGGGTTCATGGTTTAATTTCTTTCCAAATACACTGGGCCAACCCCAGCTAAAATTTTTTCAGAAAAACCTTTCCAATGTGGAGTCCTCCTCTCTCTTCCAATGGGAGGACTAGAGAGCAAAGGGGAAGGGGAAAGGAAAGGCTGAGTTCAGTAATTGCTGTATTCAACTTTGAAAAGTTCCAATAATAGGAGAATTTAAAAAGACTGCATTGTAAACTAATTACTGGTCTTGTCTTCATGTCCATTCCTTTGGAAAAGAAACAATAAATGCTCTCTTGTACGGATGCTTTAAAAGATAGTAGGTTGCGGGACTGATGGCTTCTATTTGTCTCTCTTTTAGGACAAAAGGACTCCTGACAAACTCATGGTAGCAAGGTGTCAAGCCCCCTTCCTGGGATGTGTTTCTTCCGGAAGAAAAGAGATCACTACCTTTTTTTATGGATGTCACTGAAATAGACTTTGAGGTTCTTCGGAAGCACATCACAAACCTGGCATGGGAAACCACAGCAACAATCATACCTGTTTGACAGATGATTCCTTTAAGTACAACCTGTATGGAGCTGTGTACAGCGTGGTCTTCATCCTCGGTTTGATTACTAACTGTGCCTCTCTCTTTGTTTTCTGCTGCCGTATGAAAATGCGAAGCGAAACAGCCATTTTCATGACAAACCTGGCTGTTTCAGACTTGCTGTTTGTGTTCACCTTGCCTTTTAAAATTTTTTATAATTTCAACCGGCATTGGCCTTTTGGAGACAGTCTATGCAAGATTTCCGGTACAGCATTTCTCACTAACATCTACGGGAGCATGCTGTTCCTCACCTGCATTAGCGTTGACCGTTTCCTTGCTATCGTCTATCCATTCCGATCTCGTACCATTAGGACCAGGAGAAATTCAGCCATAGTATGTGCTGGTGTTTGGATACTGGTCCTCAGTGGTGGAATTTCAGCTTCATTGTTCTCCACAACCAATATCTCTAACACCAGCACAACCTGCTTTGAAGGTTTCTCCAAACGTATCTGGAAAACCTACTTGTCCAAGATCACTATATTTATTGAAGTGGTGGGATTCATAATTCCTTTGCTACTCAACCTTACGTGCTCTTCTTTAGTACTCAGGACTCTTCGGAAACCTGCCACCTTGTCTCAGATTGGGACAAACAAAGAGAAAGTACTGAAAATGATCATTGTGCACGTGGCCATTTTTGTTGTGTGCTTTGTGCCTTACAATTCCATACTCTTCTTGTACGCTCTTGTGCGGTCCCAAGCAATAGCAAATTGCTCCTTGGAGAGATTTGCCAGGACAATGTACCCGATCACGTTGTGCATTGCAACAATGAACTGCTGCTTTGACCCATTCATCTATTACTTCACATCAGAATCCTTCCAGAAGTCTTTCAACATAAAAACCCAGATAAAAATGGATTCTCTTTTCAAGACTGAAACACCTCTAACAAAGACTGCACTACCAGCGCCACGGGACGAAATAAGTGACCAGGCTATTACGAATGGGGGAGATCCGACATCTGAATCACATTTCTAGTGACTTGTTTACACATGGAGTTAACCTCCACTCATTTCTTCATTAACACCATGCACAAAATAGTTCTTTCAGAATGTGGCTTCACACATGGTGCTACTGAAGAAAAGTTAATGGGGGAAAACTACACGAGTGGGCAAACGCTCGCTCACGATGGGATTGCTCCATCAGATGCAACAAGCATCTCCATTTCAGAACATGAGATATAATAATCCAGATGGATCTCTCTGGAGATTATGAATGGGTGACAACATACACACCAACTAAGGAGGGAATGGAACAGATTCTTTAATCACAAGAGGCCAACATTTGGCATTTTTTCCAGCATTTGACTTGGAACCAGTTGGGAAATATAGAATTTAATTTTCTTAGAGATATCTGCCAATATTTCATGTCTTCTGGAGATGAATCACCATATGTTAACTCAATAACTTCACACAATATGTATGTTTGCTTAAAAAAGGTGTAATAAAAGCTTTGGCTTTTTTTTATTTCACTGCAAGAGTACACATCCTGGTTTTAGTAGATACAGGCATTTTAAATTTATTGTTTGGAGAGGTTTGGAGTGTAAATAATTCTGTTTTGAAAAGAAGGCAAAACAGTTGCTTGCTGATATGAACGAAAATTCAGAAGAAAAAAGAATAATTAATGAAGCAATTTTGAACTGAGTTTCATTCTTGTACGATTAAGCTGCCTTTATTTTAAAAGCCATCTCTAGGGAGAAGTAAAGAGTGCATTACGGCTCTTTTGCACCTGGGTTTTTATATCCCAGGAGATTATATGTGGCTATTTCTGGTAAGGGCTGGACTATAAAGTCAGCTAAAGAGAGAGCCTGAAACCCCAGAGCTCTTTCTAGGCCAAATCTCTTATATGGAACTGTACGCAACTGAAGGACTGAAGAACCACAGTGTGCTGATCTTGCTAAAGTACTTGTTTGGATATAGACAACTGGTGTCATATTAGCAGAATTAATCTTCTGCCAATTAGCAGAAGATCTTGTAAGTGATTGTTTGCCTTTTTTTTTTGGCGCTACACAGTCAACTAATTAAGCTAGAGGTCTGAAAGAAATTCTGAAAGAGGAATAAGTAAAACAAGTTAGCTGCACTGTTTTCCTAGTCAAGTCATAGCAATGTGTTTTCTTGTTTTGCAATTAATTTATTACGTCCTGCACTTCCTTTTATAGATATAGATTATATATGTAAAGTTAACTATCTGTATGCTGTTACGTTTTACTGAGTGGTTCATTCCTGCAGCCTTTGTAGGGACAGAAGCTATACTGACCTTAACTGGCTGATTCATTCTTCCGTGTAAGACATGTAAATGAGGTAACCAAGTTAACATGGAAATGAATGAAGTTACTGCTTGTTACATCGGTGATATACATTTTCTGCTGGACAGCATAAAGCTGCTTCTAGGGCTATATCGGCAATAAAAGACAGACAAAAAATGGAACAGATGCCTTCTGCTCAACCACTTATCTTAATTCTCTCAGATCAAATCTCATGAAATACTGAGTGCTACACATCAAATGCACATCAAATTACTTCTCAAAACAATTGGAGTTTTTAAAAGTGTGAAAAGAACTCAGCTGCAAAAAGTGTTATGCTTTGAAGGGAATATTTATTTAGCACTACTTTCACTTTGAACCAAAAAAGTTATTTGCTTAACAAGCCTAAGACAGGCCCTAGAGGTCACTCTATTTTAGCCCTAAAATGACTATTGGTTACATAGTGCCCCTGGCTTTTGGCATATATCGCAGAGAACAAGTATATCATAAATTCATTATACGCAGGAAGTATTAGAGCAGCCAAACCATTATACCTCAGCTTTGAGTTATCGTTGTATTTACTAGAAACTTGCAGCCAAATTCTCCCAAGCCAGTCTCACGTGCATATTAAACCCTCCGCCAACAACTGATCCACCTTGGGGCAGAAAAGAAGTGTGAAAACAGGCATAGATCACTCAGGCTAGCGGGCGACACGAGATCCACGTGGCAGGACTAGAGCACCATGAATTTGTCAGCGGCCAGAAAAAAGTTTACCTTGAGCAGAAACTTCTTAAAACTGTGTTTTAAGAAGCATCGGTATGTGCTGAACACGCTTCCCTGTCCGCCTATGCCGCAATCCCAACAAGCATAAAGCCCCAGCGCCCCATTTCAGCTAGCTTGGTCCTCTTGCCTACCTCCTCCACGAGCTAAACGTTCCCGGGTAAACCCGCGAGCCTTCCCCTGCCGCTCAGTACAGCCAGTTACGCTCAGGCGAAGTGGAAGGCGGTGCCACGCTCCTCCTTCCCTTTCAGTACAGGCCCAAAACTGAACAGTTTAGGAGGCTTTTTTAAAATCCCCACTTCCTTTGGCTGATGGGCCTGTTTCAACACTTGCCGTAAAATGTATATTTTTTCAAAGAAGCTGTTTCCATAACTTCAGATCAAAATCCAAGGCGAGGCAAGAAGGATTTTACAAGCTCTGATAGAAGCAGGGTTTTCCACACACAGCACCCCGTCCTTCACACCCCAGCGCTGTCAAGCGAAGAAGAGGGGTCTGTGCAGCCGTTAACAGCTCTGACGCGTCCTACGCTGCGCGGGAGAAGGGGGCACCCCAGCTCGCGCCCTACCGTTATCTGCTTGTTCACAGCTGTATTTAAGGAGGGATGAGAGCGCTATTTTTAGGGATGGCAGACAGAGCAGCAGCGGAGAGGATACTTTAAAAAGCGGAGATTATGGTGTTGAAGATGCATTTCAAACCCTCTTCCTACGGGCAAGAAAAATACATGGTGCATGAGTTAATGCAGTTCTCCGAGGCAAAAATCCTTCTTACTTCACTTTTATAATGAGAGAATAGAAACTTGTTTACATGCCAGCTGGTTCTCAGTGGGCAACTTCTTAACTGCCAGCTTGTGAATCTCCTGCTTAAAGCTGCAGCTTTCCTGTGGCGAGCAAGAAGCGGAAAGATGAGCCTGAGTTACAGGCAGGGTTTGGGAGCTTCTTGGGACAAGGCTGCTCTCATCAACGGTGGCAGCTTCGTTGCTCTGGGGCAAGCGAGAACAGAAGCTGGCCCAGCACATCAAAGCTGACAACAAAGCAACATCTCGTTTGCAAGAATGCTGGAAGACTTTCTGCTCTATGCGCCACAGACCTTCCTCTAGTTAAATTTGAAGAAGAAGAAAAAAAAAAACCCCAACCTAGAAACCACTGTCTAGCCTTCTTAAGGAAATGTTAAAAGAGAGGGGGGAAAGAACTCTGTGTGACTGGACAACATCCAGGCTGTACATACATAGCTTAACTGTAATACGAGCATAATGGTTGTCTTTTTCTAAGTGAAACTAGTGCCAATACTTACAAATTTCTGTTTGCAGTTTTATGGGGCAAGAGCTGTGGTTGATATTCTCACATAAAATGTAACACTATCATCATGCGCCAAAATGCTAACTGAAAAGATTCATTATTTTGTAATTTAATACCTTATAAATTATATGGAGATCATATGTTGACTGACACTCACATCTGGTAGGATAGTTCTTGACTAATCTTTTTTCTAGGTCAGGTATACCAAGTAAATGCTGTATGGTTTGTATATAAATAACCAATTATGCATTCAGAGAGAGGAAAAGTAATTTTCAGGTGTTGGTCAAGACAAGCTGGAAGGAACGATGGTGGTAAATGAAAAGTGGATTCACAGTTTTTCTGGCTAATGTGCAGCTGAGTGTTTCTACTCCCCTGTCTAACAAAGGGCTATTGTCAGCAAACAGTACAAACCAGAAGCAGGAGTTTAAATGCAAAAAATCAAATTAAGAAGTCACCAGTACTTTTATCTAGCAGAAGCTGAGAGAGAGGATGCAGCAGGCCTCTCAGATGTTGTATGTTCAGCATTAATCACGGACTTCATCTGCTCCCAGCTAGCTCACTTCTCCCATTCCCCAGTTCCCCTCGAGTGACTCATGCAAGTATAAGCTCATCACCACACTTTGCAAAGCTTTGCCATGCTGGAAAGCTGAAGCCCTGGAAAACAGCACACAAACCTCTGCTCAAGCTCACCTTTGCATAGGCCCATCCCTACAAAATGCCAGTGCCAGTCTACCAGTTTGCATGGTAGCTGTCCTGCAGGGCCTTGTGTTACAGTCATCACGAAAGGCCTCCTCTTACAGTGGGTTTTCGTTAGTAAAAGAAGAGGATCTACATCAGAAGAAAGGTGCCAAGTGCTCATGTGACAGCATATATCTTCCTTGTCTTTGTAGAATTAGTGGGAATTACCCAGGCTCACATCTATGAGATGGTCTGCAAGGGCAAGGAGGCAGCAGAAGGTCACGTACAGAAAGTCGCGCGCTGGCTCCTCGTCAGAAAGGAACGCTCCGTTCCTACTACCCTTGCCCGTCTTGGAGATCTGCTGAGTGGATTCAGCCTTTAGGTCCCTCTAAAAACAGCCCCGTGACATCTGAGAGTCCTCCCTGTGGTTTTGCAAGGGTGACTGAGGGCGAGACCCTGCCCTCTATCTTTATCCAGACAACATCTGCTATGCCATTGAGAGGAGTCTGCCCTCTGACAAACAGTTGGTAAAATAAAATGGGACCTGTCATATCTATATAGTAAGACTACACAGCACCTTTAACCACCTTCTGTGCCCTGTGTCCCTAAAGAACTCCCCGGTAACACTTCCACGGCATTCCCAGTGGGTGGACTGGCTATAAAAGGAGGCAGGAAACGACCGTCTTAGAAACCCTGTCTCAGAACAGGGAACAGCAACAGACACCAACAGGCTCCCTGAAAGAGTTTCTACTCAGTGCTCTACGTGAAGAAAGCAAAAAGAGGATGCACGAGGTAACGGAGAGAAGTGCTAGCTGTGCGCCCAGCAGCTAAGGCGGTTGCCGCAGCACGCCACGTGGCACCGCACAGAGATGCTCAGATTGTCTTTGCCCCAGGCTGAGAAGCCCAAGCAAAACACGCAGAGCCGCGTGGGCTGGGAGCAGGACAGCTGCTTCTGCCCTCCCGCAGCTCCTCTCGGAAGCTGGGTGCACAAACGTGACCATCTTTCTCAGGGGCAGGTCAGGAGAGCCCACGCCACGCTTCTCAGGCTGTTGTCGGCACACCAAAAGCCAGGCTGGGGGTCACTGCCCCTCCAGAACAAACATAACCCTGAACGCAGGGAAAGCCAAGAGCTTTGCTGGATCCCAAAGGATGGGCTGCAAGCAGCTCTCAGGGTATGATTTGCTCCAGGAACATATGATCCAAATGGTCCCCATTTGAGTAGATAAACAATGTTTGTCAGCATTAATTTATTAAAGAGGCACAGCTGGTCTTCATAAGATTAGAAGGCCAAGCCCTGCTTTTCCCCTGCTAATGCAGGAAGCTGGAATTTTAACTTCTGAATGCTGACCTCAGGCTTCACTTGACAGTCCTTCTGGGGTATGAGCTGTGCGCTGAGTCTCTGATACGCTCCCAAGGACCACAACTCTGAACACCCACGAGGTGGTGTGCTACAGAGATGTCTTATTTTGAAAATTAAGTTCATGGGAGCCTTAAAATGCTGCACTCAACCAGGGTTTAGGAAGTGAGGAAGAACTACTCAAAACATGGTCTTTACTTCCCAAAACAGCGATCAAAGACGTACTGTTGCTACTAACTGGAAATCTATTGATGTTCACTGGCACAGCCTCCTTTTCTCTAGGCATTGATTCCAGCTCTTGAAATCTTTTTTCTTTCGTGTTTGTTCTGTCGATATATATGTGTGTATTAGTAAAGGTTTGAATTATTCTTTACTGAGTTTTTTGCTGTGGATGTGAAACGCAGCGAGTTTGCAGTGGCAGAAGCGTGAAGGATGCCAGGCAGCGAGGACGCAGAGCTGACTTGGGTCTGTGCAGAGCTTTTTGCCTGCCCGTGGTCTCCCTGCAGGAAAAAAGGCTGGTGGATTTTTAGAACCTGCCGGGGTAGGGGAAAGGCAGGACAGAAAACAGACAAATGGACTTTCAAGCTTGTCACGTAATGCAGTGATTTTAGCCTCTATAAAACAGACACTTCATGGGGAAGAAAAAGGAAAGCATAGCACTATTTCTGTTTTTCTCTGGAATATGTCACTTCACTTGAAAATAACATTTAACTGCGCTGGCAGTTCTCTCCAAATTCTAAAATTTCACCTCTTCATGTAAAAGCAACAGGACCCACAGACACACCTAAAACACTGGGACAAAAAAGGAGAGTCAGGTGGTTTCTTGTTAGGATCAAGTAGTTACATTGTGTGTATGTTTTCCCAAAATACTTAACTGTCAAGTACCTAAGAAAATCCTGAGCTAGCTTCTCTGTGGGATTTGACCAATGTAAACAGTGTACAGAAGTTAACAACATGCATGTTTTGCACTGCTTGCTCTTTTCTATATGCGTGTGCATGTGTGTGTGCATGTGCATAATGAAAAAGGAAAGTTTTTTCCGGAAAAACACTATATGTGAGTGTGCTCATTTATTCTGACTTCTATAAATACACTTATTAACTGGAATAATATTTAAATTGAAGGTTTTCTGTAGACCTCTTGAG